AAACAGGCCCAAAATATTTGGAAATGTGGTTGGCAATGTTCTAAGTCATTGTACTCATACATCCCACTAGCATTTACTCTTCACATTGAGACTGATATGTCACAGGTCCCTTTTCGGCATCTTATACTCCATACTTGCGTTAATAAAGACCAGCTTTCTTCCCCACTTAGGATGAGGGGATGAGTCAGTATGACCCTGGAATTAGTGGGAACAGAGCACATCAGAGCTAGACAAAGGGTGGAGAGAAGTGGGTGGGTGGGTGTCACAGAAAGGATGGGCAGCAGTCTGCCAGCTGTGGGTGTCTCCCTGCTTTTGCCTTCCCCTGGGCAACCGTCATTCTGTGTGAGATGTGTTCCAGAAGCCAATCACTTGAGATTGCATTTCATCCTACACATTCTGTTCCACATTTCAGGGAACAGCCCTCCTATTTTAAGCCAGTAAAATAATTTTCAAATCCTTAGAATTATATATAATAGGGTTTATCTTACATTACCAAGAACAGTTAGGACCCTAAAACGATGCCACGCTTATTTCCTCCTATAATGGGAGAAGAACTCCCTAAAAAGTCAGGACGATTTGGGGAACATTCTTACTTCTGGAGACTTTAGAATGACTTAATATGATTGACTTGCAGAGAAGATTCTATTGGCACTTTCCTGAAAAAAGAAACCCACCAACAGATGACTGACTGCCTTCGAAGGCAAGTCCCTTGAAGATGTGTTCTGACGCCCAGGGAAAGCTGAAGTCCACAGGGCTCTTGTTAGTTTGCATATTTTCCTCATTTTGAAAGGAGTTTTATCAACTTGCACCCCAGCTGAAGCACTCCTGACGTTTTTGAGCAGCACAGGACCGACTCCGTTGTGGCAGGATGTCTGATATTCTGCGCTGCAGCCCACTATATTCCAGGAGCACCTTGATGCATTGATGACCAAAATGACCTCTGCACATTCCCCAAATCCTCTCTGGTGCGCAGACTCCTCTGGCTGAGAGCCCCCCAAATGGAAGGTATCTGACCTCCCATGAACCAGCCTCATAGCTCAGGTATCACCTGATACTCTAACAGTAGAAAAAGAGTTCATCAGTCTGTCTGTCTGTCTGTCCGATGGTTCATTCCTTCATTGCCAAGGTGCTTCTACTGAGTCAGCTTCTTCAACCCTCCCCATCCTGGTCCTTTGCATCTCCTCCCTGTCGCTCCACCCTGGAATCTCATGAGAGGGCGATGGACCACCCGCTATCATCTAATCCGGGCGCTTTCATCTGATTGTGACCCAAGGAGAGCTGAGCCTTGGACCTGAAAAGCCTCACTGTGATGTTCAAAAAGGAAAGAGGTTCCCTTTCCAGTAAGGTGCTCTATTCTCATTTTCACTAGGCAAATAAAGAAAAGAAAGAAAGGAAAAGAAAAAAAAAAAAATCTCTGAAGACTCAGTTACCAACACTCTCACCCTGTCATCATTTTTTTGCTCCAGATATCCATGTACAAGTAAATAGATCACATTTTTAAAATGAACTTTAACCACAGTGATGTTATTTGAAGATCTTTCAAGATAAGTAGAGCAAAAACTAGAGTGTGGTTTTTCAGGTTAAAATGTTGTTTGCTGCTATAAACAGTGGGAAGTGAAGGTTGTCGCCTAACAGCTCTGTGTTTACAAGGTTCATGTTTGGAAGCAACACGCATTTTAAATACATGTGGAAAAAAAAGCGAGTGTGCGTAATTATTTTGATACGTTGTATTTTTTGCTCCTTCTGGTGGGTGGCCTGGCTTTGTGGTTAGGAGAGCAGAGTCAGGGACCATGCTGACTGGGTTCACACTTACGAACTGTGTGACCTTGGGCAAGTAACCTCGTAGTGCCTTGGTTTCCCCACCTGTAAAATAGGGTTAATTATCAACCATACCTCACAGGGTCCTTGTATGGATGAAATGACTTAATCCATATAAAGTGCATAGCTCCGTGCTTGGTAGATAGAAAGCACTCAATACATAGTAATTATTATTACTATAATTATTACTGCTGGTCTGCTGGTGGTTGCAGTTCACAGGAAATATTTCTGAGCCGTGCAAAATTGTACATGGATGAACTAAAAAGCTGGCATTTCAACTCCTGAATTCAGTGTCTGCTCTTTGGAGAGGGCCCGCTCAAAGCAGCAGGGACCCGGCACAGCCAAAAATAAATAAATTAATTAATTAAACAAAAATAGAAACCTTTGGAACTCAGCTCTGAAGAAAAGAAACATATTCTTAAAGCACTTGCCTAAAAAAAAAAAAATTAGAAACTGCATAAATATAATTCTACATTTTTCACACGTGCTTGTACCCCTTCTACCTTGTGATAATGTCTTAAATTTATTTTACAAACATCTATGATTTAAAATGTAACATAGCTGGGTATTTTAAGTGGGAAAAAACAGATCATTCAATCTCTAATGTTAAAAAAAAAACAAAACAGAAATGAGATAGTCCCCCCACCCTCAAAATAATCTGCTGTTCTAAAATTCTACAAATCTGTAGACATGATTAATTTGGCATTAGACTTTTCCTTTAATAGAAAGTGGATACTGTTTGTTACTGATTGATAGGGAAATAATGTTTTGCCTTTCCCATTATTGACAAACTCTGCTTTTACAAATGTTATTTAATCTGATATGACACCTCTGTTATTAGATATTATTAGATGAGGAAATGGAATCTCCAAGATCTTTGCTATCTTTCCAAGGGCACAACTAGTAAGTTGCAAGGCAGGATTCAAGCTAAATAGAGAACAATTTTCTCAAAGGAAAAAAATAAAAACAACTTACTGTTTAATCACTGCCACATATTAGGTGATCATTCATTCTAACTCATTTACTAATATTTGTGACTTCTCTTTGAATCTCTTCTCTTAGGATGTTAAAATAATTCTCCAAAGGAGTGAGCATGTACAAGGAAGTGATGAAGAGAGGTCTCCTTCCAGACTCACAGAGGAAAAGAAATGAAGACAAGAGAGCGGCAATGAATCTTCCAGGCATCAAGTGTAAACGTGGTGTTTGTTGTATACATTATCATCATAAGTGTAGAAATGACCCCTACCAGGCTATGAGGGGCATGGAAAAGGGAGTCTTCCTTAACTTGGAGAATATTCTGTAATAAACTTTAAATTTCCAAGCAAAAATCTGAAGTAAGAAGGAGTGCATTTTGAAGTGATTCCGAAAATAAAAGGCACCAGAACGATATGTTCAAATATAAACATACACATTAAGTCATGAACAGTCCCAGTGAGAAGTATCTACATTAGGCAGATACAGTGAAAATTCCCCCAGAGCTCCACGTCAGGGCAGCATGGCTGCATACAGTTTGTCGTTCTCGCTCCATAAAATTCCAAGGTGTATCTCACTAGCCAAGGAGAAGGCTGCGTTATCAGCTGCTGGTATAGTCACGATCCTATTATCTATTCATAATTCTTTATTAATAGAATATGTTTCTTGTATAGATAGAGGTACAATTATAGCACTTGTATAAATTAGTGACTCAAATTCAGTGATACTTACCTGAAGAAAGTGATTTTGTTTTTGTTGTTTTCGTTGCATTTTTAAGTGAGCACTGATGTATTTTCAGTGGCTGGGCCTCTGTGAAACCCCCTCTGGGTCTCCTCACTGGCTGCTCCTTCTGTGGGTCTTTGCTGAACCCTCCTCTTCTACTCAGCCTCTAAGAGTTGGAGGGCCCCAGCACTCAGCCTTCTCTGTCCACAGTCAATTCCTGGAGGAGTCATCCATTTCTGTTACTTTATTGGGCCAAAGTGAAGTTTCTATTCCCATCTTCCCCCAAAATCCAAACTTCTCTCTTACTGTCCACTTGATTACCACAGGAATGGCTTATCATCATCACAAACTCAACATACCCAAGCCAAAGAGAGGGAGCCTTCGCGTCACCCCGCTGCTCCAACCGTCTATTGGAGTCCCATCTCATGTAGAGTCTGGTCCAAGTCCTTACCTTCATTTTACCCCTCGCTGCCTGTCTGATCTCATTTCCCTATATTTTCCCCCAGCCCGTTCTGCTTAAGCAACAATTGTACCTTGTTGACCCTGGAACACAACAGACACATGCCTGCCTCAGGGCCTTTGCACTTGCTTTTCTCTCTGCCTGGTCCCAAATATCTGCATGGCTTGCCCCCTGACTTCCTTCAGGCCTCTGTTCAAATGACACTTTGTCAGCAACGCCTTCCCTCAACACATAATACAACATAGAAATAAACCACCATCCCCATACCTCTCATGCCCACTTTAATTTTTTTTTTCCATTGCACTTATCAACATCCGACAAATGCAAGTTTACTCTTTTGTTTGTCTGTCACTCCACTAGGTTGTAAGTTCCATGAAGTAAGGGATTTTGTGTATTTTCCTTATTGCTATACTCCTGAACATAAGACTAAAATCATAGCCAGCTTTAAGTTGCATTATAATACATTTGTGCAAAACGTGTAGAGGTATCACATTTGGATTGATCACTGAAAAAATGAGCCGTCCAAAGACAATTTCAATTGTCAGTGAGAATAATATTCTCTCTTTTTTTTTTTTTTTTTTTTTTTGCGGTACGCGGGTCTCTCACTGTTGTGGCCTCTCCCGCTGCGGAGTACAGGCTCCGGACGCGCAGGCTCAGCGGCCATGGCTCACGGACCCAGCCGCTCCGCGGCACGTGGGATCCTCCCACACCGGGGCACGAACCCGTGTCCCCTGCATCAGCAGGCGGACTCTCAACCACTGCGCCACCAGGGAAGCCCTATATTCTATTTCTTGAGAGTGACACATTGCCTAAATCTGCTTCTTGTGGGTTCCATTCCCAGAACCCTTGTCCTCAAGATGATGGAGGATGGTGATGCAGAAGCTTAGGAGGTGGAGAAGAAACCCAGCCAGAGATTTCACAGTTTCAGCTAGCTGATTCACTCGTAGTTCTAGTTATTCTAGAGAAGGGAGCTGAGGAACATCTGAAAATAGGATTCAAATAAATAAGACATCATGATAAGGACACAGGCAGCCAACCAACCGACATTTTATTAAGGATTGAAGACGACAAGGCAACATTACATTGCACTGGAAAAAAATTAAAAGCGGACACAATGGCTCTGTAATGATGCCTTATATTTCCTTGTAATTGCTTGCTGTAATAATGTTCTTGCACAGTGTAGTTAACGAAGGAAATTGCAGAATTTCCCTCCTGAGGCCCATTATCTCATCTGAATTATAGGAGAGCAACCCACACAAAGGTCTCCCTGGTGGGTATTTGCCACCATGTCAGTCTCCAGTCATCAGCAGGATGGAGCAGACCTGGTGGTGGAACATGACCTAGAGATGTAAATGGAGCTCTCGCACCGCAGGTTCTGGAGCGGGCAAGGGTGGAACTTCACACTGAAAGCAGAGACTGCATGGGATTCTGCCAGAAGAAGAAAGAATGTACTGTAAGCTCCTTTCCCCAAGAGCCTTCCGAGTCTTATAATTCTAGTGAACGCCCAACCACCTTCAGGTCATTCTGAGGCTGCTTTTGCCCTGCACATTACCATGTCCTCCGGCTATTGCTTTTGTGAGATGGATCTGAAGTCTCTGATCTCGGACTCTGGATACACCATCAAGATACCTCTCTTAATGCAGACCAGGATGTCAAAGCCATTGTGTATGGGCATACGCACACACACACACACACACACACACACACACGTGAACCCACATCTGCAGATTTTGAGGAGTCTGAGGTAACCAAAAGAAACTGATGACTTATATTAAACTTACAAATAACTAAAGCTTCTAAGCCTTTGTTTCATGTGCTTTAGTTCAACCACATTTCCACCTGTCTTAACAGAGGCCACTTTTTTAAAATATTAAAGTACAGGTATTTACATATAACCCTATTAAATTCATCTTTCAAATATGTTTTTGTATTCTATTGTCATGGTGTTAAAAGAAATTTATAACCCAATTCTACCATCTAGTACGTTTGTATTGTCTACTTACGTGGTGGCATAGCTGTCCTGGTCTCAGAGCCCTGGGACAGGAAGGCTCTCACTCCCTCCTGGGAAACTCCTGGAGTCTCGAACTGTCTGCCATCTCCTGTGGCGGCATCTATGCTCCCCTGCAAGTCCTCATCTAATTTAAAACAAAAGAGTTAATCTGATTTTAAATCTCCCAGAGGAGGCTATCCCTTTCAGGACTCTGTACATTCAACCCAAATACCAATCTCGAAAAGCCAACCTTCAAGAGACCATCATGTCACATGATTAACAGCTGAGCCAACCTTTCTACCAGGCAATGGTCTGATGTACATCATTGCACTTTTGGTGTATGTTAGATTATAAGATTCGGGGATCACCCAGAACTCATTTTAAAACTGTCAAAAAATAATATAGTATTTCCTATGAAAAGAAAGGGAAGCTGATGCTATTTTCTTCTAAAATAAATATATCACCAGTGATGTCTCAATGAAGGGATTACCTGGGTAAAGATGGTCAAGGAAACAAAATGTCCGTTAACGCAACAGGCAAACGGTTAGAGTTCCGGCACGCCTAAGATGAATGAGAGAGCAGTGAAGCTGGGGACGTTCACTACTTTACCGTGAATTTTTCTTCTCTTTCTTCCCATGAATAGGTCTCCTCCTCCTTCTTGCCTGGCTGTCAATTGTCCACTTATTTCAAAGATCCATTTCTTCCTCTTTAACAAAGACATATTTTAGACTAATTCATGAGAAAAACCCGAAAGGGGGCCACTGTTTCTTCTAAATCATAGGTCAAGGAGGTATCACCATGGGCTGCTTGAAATAGCTACTTCCAGAATCATTTGCTGCCAACATACCATTGGCCTCAGTGGACGTTCACGTCATCCATGTCCACCTTCTCTCCACCCTCATCCAACCCACACACCAAATTGTCACCCTCTTCAACATCTCCCACTATGTGCACCATCTCCCCTCTTTTCAGCACTAAATATGACTATGTTCTCCAGCTCTCGCTTCTATGAGATGAATCTGAATCTTATCCTGGTTGCTCTCCTCTGGACAGCAATGTGACATTTTACAGGGTTATTCATGATATCTTCACGCTATCCTTGGGAACAAGGTAAACAAATATGGACTGAATGACAAGTGAATTTGTAACCAGTAGAGTGAGGTTCTCAAACACAGAAGATTCATAACATGAGTTATTTATTTTCCCTCTCCCTTAATGGGCTGTTAGCTATAGGAAATACTGACTATGTCTCTCTTATTTCTGTGATTTACAAAACTTCAACAAAGAAATTCAAAGAGAGAGATAGAATTCATGTGAATTATAATTGTGGTTGGTACAATGTTGGAAGAAATTCGAATTAAATTATGCTTAATAAGAAAAAGAGGGCTTCCCTGGTGGCGCAGTGGTTGAGAGTCCGCCTGCCAATGCAGGGGACGCGGGTTCGTATCCCGGTCCGGGAAGATCCCACATGCCGCGGAGCGGCTGGGCCCATGAGCCATGGCCACTGAGCCTGCACGTCCGGAGCCTGTGCTCTGCAACGGGAGAGGCCACAACAGTGAGAGGCCCGCGTGCCGAAAAAAAAAAAAAAAAAAAAAAAAAGAAAAAGAGGACTCAATAACAAGGTTAGGATATTAACAATAGGTAACAATAGGTAATAATAGCTAATATTATTGAAGGTCTACTATGAGTCAGGCACTGTGCTGAGTGCTGAGGCATTATCTCATTTAGTCTCATAACTCTGTGAAGTAAGTACTCTTAAGATGGCCATTTACACATAATGAAAATGACAAGTAGAGAGATTATGTAACTTGCCCAAAGTCACACAGCTGGTAAATTATAGACAGACTAGGAACCCGATATGAACACCCAAAGCCATCCTCTTACCTGGTTTGCTCAACTTGAAGTACAAATAACCAATTGCATAAGCCCAGGATGGAAGAAGTGTGACTTAGCGATGTTTAAAAATAAAAACAGAAGGGTTTTGGTCAAAGTGAATTGAATCTAATTTGCTGTGTGTTTTGTCCCCTGAAGAGTCCAGTGTCCTCAGAGCAACATTTGTAGGAAGGGAGATACTGATTTTCCTCTGATAGGTGCTGGTTAGACCTCACTGGCAATTCTGTGTGCAGTTCCTGGCCACACACTTGAATATATGCACAGTTTATGTATGCAGAGGAACTGATATATATATATATATTCAGAAGGGAGGAAACTCAAAACCCCATAGTCTTAGCCTTAAGTAGAGAAACTTCCAATGTAAGGGGCAAAGAAACCATCTCCAACTATTTGAAAAGCTGTCCAGATGAAGTAGCTTCTCTGTGGTCCCCAGGGATGAACCAACTCTAGTGGTGCCTGTTGCAGCGTGGCAGATTCCAGCTGACCATGAGAAGCGACAAGCTCCCTGTTGCCAGGATTATTCTGACAGATGCAGGGTACCATGCGGTACCATGAAGGGAACCTAGAACTTTACCCTTTTGTCCTCCTCCGACTGTAGTTTTACCTCTACTGAGTCAGCTCCTCAGCTCTGCAACCCCAACTTCGATCTCCCCCAAAGAGCCCTTTCAGTGCACTCTTCATCGTGTGTGCCTTTCTCCTTTCTTTAAAGCTCTTTGAGCAGGCTCATCCCACTGTGAGCACCCCCTATTTCCTTGCATTAGAATTCCTACCCATGGCGTCCATTACCACACTCCAGCCACTTAGCTGTGCAGGCCAGCCTGGGGCTGTCTAAGGGAGGATTAAATAGGAATAGAGGAGATACAGACAGTGGACGAACCATTTGGCTGGATGACTATATGGCCCAGCCCACCTCTGAAGTTCTCCTGGGAGAGCTTCTCCTCCCAACCTCCCATGCTATACTAATGGCAGCACCTGTGGTTCTCCTGGACTCCTATTCTCAGAACTGGGGCTGCATCCTTGTCTCTTCATCCTTTTCCCGCCTTCACACCCTATCTTACTGATCACTTCTTACAAATATCTCTCACATCTCTCCTTTCCTTTCAGTGCCCACTCACCACCCTATTTCAAAATCCCTCAAAATCCTTCTTCTAGACTCTTGCAATGGTCCTCATTTGACCCCCCTACTTTCTGTATCTTCTCCCAAAGCCTCCATCGTTCTACCCCAATCCAGCCTCTACACTGTTCACAAAATAATCTTTCTGAATCTTTACTTAAGCATGTCACATTTTTGTTTAAAAACCTTCCCTCTGCTTCCTTGTTATCAAATAGATTCCGCATCTCTTAGGATGTTATTTAGAATCTGATTCTCTCTTTCTATGCCTATCATCTTTTTCTCACACTCAACTTGACACAACTTCCCTCAGCATGGTTTCTGGTACTTATTAGATACTCAATAAATACGAAATGGATTAATGAGTGAAGAGGAATGTCTCCTTTTTACAGAAATTCTAGCAGGTGTAGAGTACCTTTTTACAGTAAAGATGTTCCTACAACCTTATATGTCCCTTATTCTAGATCTGTGGAGAGAACCGATTTAATCTTTTCAATATTATTTGTGTGTGTGTGTGTGTGTGTGTGTGTGTGTGTGTGTCTGTGTCTGTGTCTGTGTGTGTGTAAGGAGGGTCACTTGCCTCCTCTCCAGATGGCCCCCTGTAGCTCTGGAGGAGGGAGGCTGCGTGACATCAGGGTACATCTGCTAGAGGCTGAATGACTCACGAAGCTAATGAGAACTAAGAATCCTATTATAATCACCTCCTTTTAGCACCAGGAGCCTAGTCTAACTCTGAACAGGTCAGTGCAGCAACCCCCACCGTCTGGGCTCTCTCAGGCTCCTCCCTTGCTCCTACCCTTTTTTTCTCTAAATAAAAGGTTCCCTAACTCTGCTTCCAACACCTTTTGCAACTTATTCTGTCTCCTGTCGTACTTAGCTGGCATGTTTGACTTAGTAAGAAATTTACATTGCCTGTTGGATAGCTCCTTCCACCTCCAAAATTTTCTCTGCCATGTTCTCTGATACAGACTTAGAGCATCCTCTGTTACTCAAGGCATCATCAAAGATTCTGTTGAGGCAGGGCTAAACAAATCTACCAGCACATTCACAGTCAGATTCTTTGCAGAAGGACAGAGGGAAACGTTGTTTTCAAGCGTATGTCAAAACAAATCTGGAAAGAGATGCCACTAGCGTCTTGTGGCCACAGTTCAAAGCCCCACAAGGGCCTCACAGGGCTCAAAGCAGCACTCCGAGCACTTGAGCTCCAAACAAACACTGTTGTGTCTTTGCTCACTTCACGGCTAACCGCAGGGAGACAGCGACACTGAGCGCTGTCTGAAGCAGCCTCACCTTGTTATGCGCCCCACAAACCAGGCTGAAACCACAACATCCTTGTGTTCTGCATAGGGCAGACTGCGCCATGGACTCCCAAGGGCGAGGGCTGAGCCTTCTCCCACCAATGTCACCGCCTTTCGAGCCCCTTTCATGGTAAAACTCCTATAAATCAAGGAGAGCCTTTGCCACCATGCTCCTTGCAAAAGCGTCCGCAGGAAGAGTGCCCTGGATGGAAGACATCTCTTAGCTTCTCATGCTCCAGGAGAACTTTACAACTTCTTTCTGAATGGAGTAACTCTAAAAATATGCTGCTTTTATTTCTTTCAGAGTACAACTTCCTCCAAGCTGATAACCATGTTTCTAAATATTGCATTTTCCTAGGGGAGGCGGGAGAGATAGCAAGCAGGTAGTAATAAATACTTCTTGGGTATTTGACAAGTGCCAGCCACTCTTCTAAGCACTTTCTAAGAATTAACTCATTTAATTCTCATCTATAGGCAACCTTAGAATGTAGGTATATACCTATCCTCATTATAAAGCAGAGGAATCTAAGGCGTGAAGGGGTAAGGAGCTCACCTAACTTGCACAGCTAGTAAGGGACTAGGATTCCTACCTGCGGGGGAAGCAATCTGTTTCCAGGATCTTTGCCCTTGACCCTTGGACCACGCTGCTTCTCTGTCATGTGGGCGTCAGGTAGAGGCATCCCAAGGTATAACCACGTGTGTAAAATTCCCAATAGTTCCCTCAGCTAAGGATTCAGCCCTCTGCCCTTCGAGCAATGCCTCCCTACCGAAAGAAATTTGCCACCAGGGGCCTTGCCTTATGCAATCTGGTGCCACTGACTTACATACCTGACTTTTCTGTGGTATGTCAGGTATTTTTTGTGGTATGTCTGTGTTCTCAATTTCTCTGTCCTTCGTCTCCCTCCCTTCAGATTCCATATGTCTGATCACGGTATCTCTCTCTCTGACCTTCAACCAGACCGCATGTGACCTAGCCCCCCAGTTCAGCAGGAAGGGTCTAAACCCTCTGTCCTGACAAAAACACTTGAGGGCAGAGGGACAGATGAGGCCCCAGAACACACCTCCCAAGCTAAGCCCTCGCCTGCAGAGGAGCCGCGCTAGAAGGACTTGGCAGGTGTTTAAAAAATACATAGCAGGTCGGGATATCTTTGTAATGGCTTCTTAGTCTATCTTTAATTTTCCCACTTTTCAAAGACAGCACAGGATAGACTTCCCTTCTCTTTATTCTACTATCAGAGAACAGAGCACAGGTACTATGATAAACAGCAATTAGCACTCATCCTCAGTGCTGGAGAGGCCGCAGGGCATGTTGAGGACTGTCACACAGTAATCGGCTGCGACCCAATATGACCTGGCAGGGCCGTGGGAAGCCAGAGATTCTGATCCTCATGCAGAATCTCTTCAATTGTAAATATTGACAGTTAGTTCAAATAGTTTAAAACGTTGTGTGGGTCAACTCTGTGTGAGCCAGACGATTACGTTCGTGGGCCTTGCGTGTGGCCCACGGTCTATCAGTTTTCCACGGCTGGGTTTCCCAGAGGGGCTCACTCCAAGCAAGTCAGAGGGCTGGTCGGGGTAGCAAGGGCAGAGGCTGCTGCCAAGCCCCACGTTTCACAGCTTCAAATGCACCCTGAGCCACGGCCACCACTAGCTCATACGGCACCAGGCACCGGCTGGGAGACACCCCTTCCTGCAGCCTGATAGGGCACCATGGCAGGCCACAGCAGATCTAGTTCAGGGCTAACAGAGCTCACCCTCACTCTCCTCTCAGCTGGTCGCATTTTCACAGTACACAAACTGCCCAGCCGTGCACAGCAGCCTTGAGGTGGTCCCATCCAGCACAACTGGATGCTCCAACCACGTGGACGAAAAGAAACAATAATCTGAAGAAGGAAGGCAGTCAGTGGCCACGGTTCTCCAGCTATCCTTCTGCAAATCCTGGGCTGCCAGGCATTCGACCTCCCGGGAGACTAGGAGTGCACGGCTAGACCAAGATCAGAGGTACCACCCTCTCTGCAGCCCGTCTTCTTGTTGCCTGCATCTCCCATCTGTGCTAGACACGGAAGGGTAGAAGAGAGCTATGCGTGAGACAGACAAGGCTGAGCTTTGAAGAAACCTGGAGGTGGTGAACTAGGGCAGATCCAAGAAGG